CCCCAAAACCCCAAAACCCCTTCAAGCTAAATTCAAGCATTATCATAGATCTATAAGATTTTAATTTTACTATAATAAATCATTATTTAATTTCTAATATTTATAAATATCTTTTAAATTAATTATAATAATAAAAAGTTCAAAATGAGATTTATTATATCAATTGCAACTGCAGCTTTTGTGTTGATTGATTTCACCACTGCTCAATCGATCTTTCCTCAATAGGGAAATCAGTTTTATTAATCACATGACCAACATCACAATCATATTCATAATAAATAGGATCTATTTAGTGGGGAATTGTAATTCAAGAGTCCAAGCTATATCAAGTCAAGAATCAATGAAAACTTAAAAGTTCAATCAAAGAAACATACATCACCAAAGTGGGATTCTGAAGACTATGATATACTAAGCGTTCAAGGCAATAATATTTATACTAACTAAGAACGATTTAATTTTTATCCTAAACCTCAAGAAGAACAGTAAAATTATTAGGGTTATCATCAATAAATATAGGTGGAGATAGTAAAGTTTGAGAAAGACTTCAAAGTAGAGTGATTTTATTGACTTAAAAGTATAAAGCTCAGATTAAGAAACAACTGATAATCCAATTTTAGCAATGTAAGATTGCATCTAAGATGAGGATGGCCTCTTAACTTGCGTTTATGCAGTCATGGACAAGAAAGACTACATTGAACAAATAGGTAGTACTTTGACAATCTCTAGTGACACTTTTGGCTCAATTACGATTAAAGATAGTGGATTAAAGAAGAGTGGTGATGGTAAATACTAAGATGATAGAGGTAATACATTTACCTTTAAAACAGGGGGTAATGATGGCTTTAAAATTAATATCGGCAGTGATAACTCAGTTAATGTTCAAAATCCATCTCCCATCGTTCAATCAAGTTTCTAACAGAGATCACCCCAATATAAACTTCGAGACTATCCGTTTGGCTATTATTATTGAAGTATTATAGAATACTACCTTTGAGATCTTGGCTATTGAGTTTCTTTTAACAAGTTGTTATAATTAAGTGATTTTAAAGAGAAACTTTCAAAGTACATTTTAAATTCTTAATCTAGTAGTTTAATTTCTTATCTATATTTAAAATTCTATGTTAGAATTAAAGATTGATAATTACGATAACCTCCACCTGCACCATTGATTTTTTATTGAATAGTCTAATTTATATGTTTATTTTCTTTCTATTTATGAAATATTATAAAGATAAATGGGGTTTTGGGGTTTTGGGG